ACAGATTATTTCACGAACGTAATGCAGTATTTTACAGTAAAGATTATATACGACAGAAACAAAAGTAAATCCTATCGTGTTGCACATCAAACTGCATTTGTTGCCAATAATTCTTAGTCTTCTCTTAATTCATTAGTCTTTTGACATATGTAAGAACCTCTTCATGCAAGAACTATGCAATTCACGCCTTCTGCAACAACTTTCGAAACGATAATATGTTTCGAACTAAATCGGACGCTTCAGAAATATCCATTTTTAATCGCCAATACATAAAGTATGTGCGAATTTGAACTAAAATAGCGTAAACTCACTAAAATGGCACGGCACTCATTTTCTTTGAAATCCCTGACTTGTTTGAAAATTGCAAAAGTTCACGAGATTTTATGAGTCTTCCTTCAACTACAATAATAGAGATTTTTCTTAATAAAACATATCGTTGAAAGAAAGATCTTGAAATATTGTGATACTAAATTTTTCTCAATTATGAGTATTTTTCATGTAAATTTACGTGAAATTCTGTGTAGGCAATTTTTTCATTAAATTTTGTTTCTTCTTTTATTCATTTTAAAAAAAGGTCATAAAATTTGTTAAAAATAATAGTTTTCGCATATTTTCAGATTGATTTAATGCAAATTATTTACATAAACATTTTTTTCAAAAACGCCTTCAACGTTTTCTTAAAATTTGATACAAGGATACAACGGACGCTAAAAGAAGTGGCGTAGGTCTCATTTTCGTCGAACTCTCTGCATGTGTGAAAAATACAATAGTTAGAAATAATGCACGAAAGCTTGGGCCTGGGTAAATAGCTCAGGCGTCGCAATTTCCATAGCCAGCCTGACTGTGATTGTCTGTCACTCTGACATATACACATACACTTGTCTAATAATCCCTGTGTTGTGGGTTACAGGGACGTTTTCTGAAACCCAATAATTGTGGGTAATTGTGAGTCCATTATTCGTTCATTTCAAACATAACAAATCATTTACGCGAAATAAATGAAATTCTGATTACTAAAATGACGAAAAACTATTCTTTAGTCAAAGTCAAACATAACATTTTAAAGTGTTGTTATAACTACGGTAATAACTCTTTTCGTCAGAATAATTTGTGGTTCCTGACAATACTTTCTCTTTAATACGGGATCCCTGACTGAGCAAAGTGTTGAGATATTTCAATCCAGCCGTGATCAGGGGGGTCCTTAGTGGAGTTGAAAGATTTGCGTCTTAAGTACAACTGAGAGCTATGACCCGCATCATCACGCTGTTTGTAACTGATAATAGAGAACCGGTAATTCGACGTACGTAAACAGTGTCTGGCTCTCACATTCTCAATAAAAAAACATTTCCTATGTCTGACAAGTATCAGTCGATTGTGTTGAGACCTGTCAGAGACAGTTTCTGGCACAATATTTGGATTTGTACAATCGCATTGCCTACTCCCATTTGTTCTCTAATTAATTGATGGGTTTTTAATGGATTTAAATGATTTAATGTTTCGGATGATTTTAGATGAATGCGGAGTTCGTTATTATTTCTTCTACATTTTTCATCGAAGAGCACAGATTTCTATTCAAGATTTGATGTACATTTATTGATTGCAAATTCCCTTTTATAATTATGTTTGTTAAGACTCAGAATATTCCATCCAATTAACGATTTGGAAGGGTTGGGATAACCTAGTGGTGACCTTCCTCGCCGCTCGCCGCCGCTTCTTCGCCGGACGTGCAGCAATGAGTGACCACTGACGAGTTTCGGCGCCGCTTGGCGGTGTCTTGTTGGATCGGGCGTCGGGGCGCCGATTCGGCGGGCGGCGGCGGCGGCGGCGGCGACGGCCGGGGGCGGGCTCATTAGCAGGCGGGCGGCGGCCGGGGACATCCGGGCGGCGCCGCTCTCCTTCCTGGGAGTGGAGTGGGGGGGGGGTGAGAGGCGTGGGGGACGGGAGGGGCGGCGGGGAGCACGGGCCGGGCGGCATCCTGCGCCGGCGCGTCGCTCGCGGCCCGCGCGAGCATTGTGCGGGATGCGGCCCGGTCGCCTTCGCCGCCGCCTTCGCCGCCGCCTTCGCCGCCGCCGCCGCCCGACCGTTCGTTCCCACATTAACCCGCCACGCCCCCAGCAGCTGCGCGCCGCTCGTCGCTCGCGTCGCCCGCGCCGCCCAGCGCCGCCCTGAGCAACAGAGCCCGGGGCAGAGCCGCCGATGTCTTTACGGATCCCGCCATGGTCTGGATTCAAAACACTCACCGCCCTTATTATTATATCACCAGTGAAAAACTGTATTATAAATTGGCCATGTGCATAACAACGACAGGTTGGTGGTATGCGCCTGGCGTGTGTGGAGGTGGAGAACTTAATTTGCCTGTAGACATAATTGTCTTTTTATAACAATCCCTTTTTTCACAATTACTGCTCTTGGTCATGTCTTGAACATAGGCCGAATGTATGTGGAGTAATCATTCGTTAAATTTCGTATTTTGTTATGTAATGTCGCAGTCAGCCACTGATTTTTATCCCTTCAGCCAGGGGCTCGGATTTAATTGTCTCATTTTTTGATTAGGCGAAGTTAAAATGATTGACACATGTGATTGTATGTATTACAACTAGCTGCAACTGATATAAAAATTCGTAATTTTGTAGACGAAATCCTCCATTCAGGTGCGTAGGGATGGTGTGGATTGTGAAGTACCTCTCGTAATAAAAATCTATTCATGTTCAATGTTTTGCTTTCTCACTAAACACTTGCTTTTTTTCAATGGTCTAATTAAAGCCCAACGAACGTGAAGATAATTAGTTCTTTCATTTTTCCAAAAATTGAGATTCCTGAACATCGAACGTGTTATTTTGTTTCCTGCAATTTAATGAAAGTAGTGATTAATCTCTTTATATCTTAGGAATGTTTTAGCTATTTCTGTAAACTCTTTCTTCGCCAAAGAAATTGCGGGGATTACAAAAAGCTCTTGAATTCTTGAAAATAGAAAAGCATCAATATAAATGACACTTCTGCTATTGATCTCAGTGTACTGCGCGTCAATTTTACAGAAGTTTAAAGAAAGAAGTCTTTACGGAGACCGAAATTTGGACTTACGCATTTAATTTTTACGGGTCCAACTCACTCTAATAAATTGTAACGGTCCTTCTATAATTCAACAGATATGACATATTGTAGTAGTTCGAATACCTACTCGTACAATGGAAAATTATCACAATTTGACACAAAATTAAGCGAAAACAATTATTTTGAAAAAATCGTGTTGCTATTTTTGTAATTTAAGGGATTTCAATAAAAATCTAACACCTCCAAAATTTATAAGCGAAAATTGTTCCAGTCGAGCAAAAAATTGAAAGGAAGTATTTGAAGAATCCATAAAGATGTCCTCCAATAAATCTGACATCCATAAGAAAATCCCTTGAATGGGTTAACCGCTAGGATTGTTCTCAAACAGACGTGCGAACAGGCAGACAGACAGACACACACACACACACACACACACACAAACGGATAGAGAGACGTTTTGAAATTTATTTTAAAAAACTCGTTTCGCGGAAGTATTCTGGGAATCCATATTGATTAGCAAGGATGCGACAACAAAGTGTTTAATAAATACATTTATTATTTAAAAAACATATTCAGTATGTTTTGAAACATCCCAAAACAGTATACGTCCATTATAATGTCGACATCGCTTTTTGCAGAATTTTATAATTTTATTCTACACGTTGTACACACTAGTGTACTAAAAAGTTTAAAAAACACACTAGAGCTGGGAGGAATCACTGGCCGGCGGCAGTGGAGCTGCCTGCGCCGGCGACGGCGGCGGCGGCGGAATCGTGGCGGCAGTAGCGGAGTGACGCTCGGCGGCACAAAGTCGCCGACTCGTCCGTCAAAGGGCGGAGGGTGCGAGGGGGCGGGGCCGACGCCGGGGCCGTGGATGGGGCAGGGGTGGGGGGCGCAGCCTTTTCGCAGCCGAGGCGACGCGGCGAGGCACACGTGCGTGAGGCCGCTCTCCTCACGGGCTCGCGCTTCCCCCAGCGCCCGTCGCCCGTCGCCCTTCGCCCTTCGGCGCAGCCCTAATCGCCTCCCTTCGGCGCACAAACGCGAACGCGAGGGCGCGAACACGCGCTGTCACGTCAAACGGGCCCGGATGAAAAGAATTTTCATGAGGAGCGCTACTCTGGAGTGCGCACGGAGTGTTTTGACTCGGAGTGTAAGCAGGAGAGAATTTGCTGGAGAGTTTTCATCTAGCGATCTCCATTTCAGCCATGAATATAAAAAACGTTCCTTTGGCGTTGGTAGTGAATGTGTGACAGACGGTAGAACAATCTAGAGAACCATCTACTATCTAACGATGGTATTACTGTGTCGGTGTATGGTTTTAGATTTCGTCACACAGACGTCATTTAGGCTTGAGGTTCTTTCCATGAGTCGCAAATCTGTGCTTGTAACTTGCTTAACTGCCCTTCCCGAGGTGGCGTACGTAAAGGATTTTTTGCCCTCAAAGCTCCAAGACTTAGATCGGGTTTGAACACGCAAACCAGGATTTAACACTTCGAAACGTTAATCTCTTAATCCAATTAGCTCCTATCCCCTATTTTTTTCTAGGGCTTTTATCCACCCAACAGTCGGTTACCCTTTACGTCGTAATGGGACTCATTTTCGACCATACCTAGACACCTACACACTTGCGGGTTCCTCTGATCTGAGGTCAGAACGCGAGGCCGTCCGCGACAACGCATTCATAGAGGAAAGGAACAAATAACCATGCCCAAGGCGGGACCCGAGTCCGCAACTATTCGGACCGAAGCACTGAATCGGTACACGCTCTTAACCATCTCGGCCATCCAGATAGGACACTAACTCCTGTAATATTCTAAATCTTTATTATTTTCATAAATGTCTCTGCCCTATTCAACATCGGGAAAGCATATTGAATGTTTACTTGTAACATTTTGTTAACATTTCATTTATTGTTTTGCCCTTTTATTAACCTTGTCAGTATTAATAGAATGGTCAAAACATCACAAGACAGTTTTGGCAACAACGCCATGTAAGAGCAGTTGAAATAACTTTGTGTCAATGTCGCTCCAGGCACAGACGTTTTCAGCATTTGTCGTAAAATTATGATAGCAAGACCTACACAAATTAACATTATGATATCAAGACTTAGAAGGATTTGAGCGACATGGCACTAGACTAAGCCCCTTTTGTCACGGCCCTTAATCGCGAATCTTCTTTGCACAAACGCTTTCATGGCAGACGCGAGGGGAATAGAGGGTGTCATGTCGCAAGGCGCCGGATGAATAGAATTTTGATAAGGAACGTTGCATGGGGGTGCGAAGAGAGTGTTCTGACTCCGAGAGTCGTCATAGGAAACTTCGCCGGAATACAAACAAACGTTGGCTATGAGGAGGACTCTAGCATGGTGGGTATTTATATGGTACGAGTTTTATGAGTGCCTATGAAGCTCAGACGGCGGGAATCGCGAGTGTCAGTGTGGTGATTTCGAACACGTATTTTGTCTCCTCGAGTTCGTGGTAGGTACGCAAACTTCAAACACGTTTTCTACCTATCATTTGCATCATGGTTCACCATTCCATAATTTCTCATATAAAAATTTAATTTTTACGTTCTTCCCGTTGTATATGTGTAGTAGATAAGGGAGCATTATAATCGTGCGGCGGATATCGGCTATTTTCGTCAGAAAAACTTGTATTTTCGGGCACTGGTAACGAAGAAGAGGATAAATCTTAGATTTATTTTGTCAAAAAACTGTAAAAACTGTATTTGACGTATGGGGGAGAAGATTATCTGCGCACGTTTTCTTGAATTCTAGAATCACTTCCCGCCATTTGAATTATAAATAGTTGAAAGATGAGTAAAAGTTTAAAATAAGTAAATACATTTTAAAAAACAGCGAGATTAGCAATATTTGAAAAAAATAGACATTTTCGTTGCCGTATTCCTAATGTCTAGTAAATTACTTTCTCTAACATGTTCTTCAGGCCGAATCTATGTTTGGTGTGTCCTTTACGCCTAAAAATCGATAGACGGGCAAACGTCTGTTTCCTTGTCCGCCTGTCCGTTCGGCCGTCTGGCCAAACCGTGCGTCTGTCCATCTGTCCGTCTGTCCGCTCGGCCGGCCGGCCGTGTGTGCTCGACGCTAACGCCTAACATATAGGTTAAAATAGAAGTTCTGAACTGAGGCAGCAGAGTGTACACGTAATTCCCGTAATGCCACATCATCTTGATTCACATTTATCCGACAAGGGCTGCCTCTTAACCATTGATATGTATATAATTATATTATTGTATAATTATTTTTTGTTAAATAAATGTAATTAGTTACGTACATGCAGATAATTATATTAACAGATTAATGTCACCATCATGATATTGTATCATGGGAATATAGAGTTAGCAACACACACTGATTTCGCAGTTGGGGACAAATTCAATGTACCATGCCCGAGTGGTCAATTACTATGCGATACATAATTTGTTGAAATCCGACAGATTAGCGGGCTCCGCTTTTACTTCGAGATCGAGTTGGTGCATGCGCAGAAACTCAAAAATGGTATACGCTAAGGTGCTTTGCGCTGAGCAAAAAGTCTCCAATATGGATTAAAACTACATCATTATGAATAGGAACGTGAGAATATAGCTAAGCCATCTTAATGAATAATTATCACCAGCCTCTATCGATTTGGATGTTTGTCTACTCCCCGCGGGCGATAGCCGATTCTGATGAATGGTAGGAGAAGTATTTCTCATGGCATCCATCTCGGGAGTGGTAATGTACGACTAGGGAAGGGAAAGGAGTGATTAAGGAAAATCTCATGGGACCCATGGGCCGCTTTTTTCTGTATCCGCCTGGCCGTGGTCATGAAAACCAAATATCAGAACCATTGCCCAATGGGATTCCTGAAGGAGTCATCAAATTTTCCGATATTTAATACACAAAGAAATTTTCCTGTACCCATCTGGGACTGAATACGCAATCACCTAGAAGTCGACACTCAGAATCTCTTGGTTCTCATGTGTTGCCTTAATAGTCGCGGTTATCGATATGTATGAATGACCAGTAGTAATTAAGGGAAATACTCGTGCAAAACGTTCCCTGTGACCATGTCCTAATTTTCTATCCGCGCTCTCTTGGACTTTTGTTCCAGGCACTACTATCGCTATTCCCAGACGAGCCTGAGAAGAAAAAAACAAAATTAGCAAATTCAGCAGTTACCACCACGGACAGTGCGAGACCAAGTCTTTCCCTGCATCCAAATTCGAATCCGCCCTTCCTTCCGATAATCGTCACTTCCCATGAATAGTACTACGTTTAGTGCGTTCTGACAATTCGCTATAGACATATAAGAAAATGTCTGCTTTCAGAAAAGTATGCTGTTATTAATGATGTCTCACCAACTGAAATGTTGGGCTTATAAATAGAGCACATTAAAAAATATTTGAATCGTAAGTGCATCTCTTTCCACTTCGACATTTTTTATTGTATAACTTTACTATTTCTTTCATTATCTGTACAAATATTTGCTGAGACGCCGTTCCATTGCGCGAATCGACCCGCGAATACTGTTGGACGAAAATAGAATCGGCTAACATAAAATATATTTTTCTACGACTATTAATTATGCATATGTTCCTGCTGAATATTCACACGAGGAATATCATAAGTTATACACTGTAAATTTGAAATGGCAATTCATGGTTTGTCGATCATTCAAATTTTCTTAATCGTGCTGTAATAATGAATGTCCGTAGAACTACACCATTTACAAGTTACTTTATTGCTATATGTGGGAAAATTGAATACTTTCAAAAAATTGTTTATAATAAATATTTGTAAAGCATTTAGTTTCCAATACGGCAAGATAATAACAATAATAATAATAATTGTTATTATTATTATAATGAGAAGAAGAAACAAATTGTAATAACACAATAAAAAAGTAATAGTGAGAACACAACATAAAAATTTCATTAATTATTTGAAATGGACTAATGCCAAAACATTGACATTGCGATATAAGATTAAAGCTAAACCATTTTAAAAACCAACCATAATTACAGGCAATAAGCAATTTGTTTGAGTTACAGTTCCCCTATATTTATTTACCGACGACTTTTCGTCCAGCCAGTGACTCCGCTCTTCCCTGAGAAATCTAAGAAGAAGAAAAAAACGAGAATTAGCGAATTCAACAGTTTCCACCCCGGCCAGTGCGAGGGTGGCCCTTCCCCTGCGCCCAAATTCGAAGCTCCCCCTTTCGTGCGTGGCGGGGCCGCCGAGCCGCCTAAACGGCGCCACGCCCAGGCCACGACCCGACCCGCGCGCGTCCCTCGCGGCGCGGCGGCCGGGAGGCCGAGAGGCTGGGCGGCTGGGCGGCCCCGGGGCTCCGGAGCCGCGCGAGGTGACGTGGAATCAGCGAGTCAGCGCCCGACCGCAGCCCAGGGGTGGCCCAGCGGCTGCACCACGCTACACCGGGCTCCTCTATTGTACAGGCGGGGCGTAAACATCAGGAGCTTGCGCCGGCGCACGCGAAGAAAGCGGAGGCGGAGGCTGCGGGCTCGCCCTGCGCAGTGTGCTGGCACCATGCGGTTGTGGCGTGCTTGGATTTTCTGGAGAGTGGCGATAAATTAGCATCATTATCTTTGTAGGTTTCTTGGAGCATAGTGGGGAATGTAGTTATTCAATTAATCTTTCTCCATTTTCTCACGGCAGTAAGTCGATTTCTTCACGTTGAACACTAGGGATAATAGTCTAATTATGTATCTGATTTGCATTCAGAAATAGTTTTTTATTACACGGGAGCAAATATTTTCATACCAATTCTTGCTAAAGATGCCCGTTGGTACCTGTATTCATAATTCAATTTAATAGTACGTCACACACAGTTTTAACGGTTTTTGCGTTTAAATAAACAAATACTAGGTAGTGGATCTCGAGAGTGCCGATGACTAGGAAATCATGTGTCTGAGATTCATTTCTCTGGATATAATCATGTGTCCCATCTGAACACAATTCCATTCATAATCTCGTAATAATTCATCTATCATCATCATTTATTCCCCCATGATTACCCCTAGCATCATTTTACTGTGAAAGACAACGGCAAACCATCGTAGTCATCAGCTATCTGAATAATGGAGGTTTTAAAGCTCTAAGTCGACATACTCACCTACGCTAAGTAATGAATAATAAAACAGAGCAATCGTCCGGAACTCCGCAACTTGATTCAGGGCCAACAATCGGTCGTATTTCAAACTGGTTCACGATTCTGTCTGTGTACCTTCTTTCCCATTATTTTCCATTTTTCTATATGCTTCAAAAATACTGGCATGTCAGTGTGCATTACTATACTTTTTACTGAAATAGGAAGATTTGAAAATTCATCCTTTCAGTCTTTAGATTGGCTGTCGAAGAACTGGTCACCACATGACGCCTAACTCCCAGATATGTCTTTCGATTGTTACATAATTAGTTATATTTTTGATACCTAGTACAATTAACTTTTCTCTAAAATCTCCTGTAAAATAGTTTGACATACTCCAGTTTATATATTATCCTTGTAATAATTCTACAGACAGTGGACGTATTACAGAAGTATTCCATTCATTTCTTCACAAAGAAAATTATGGTCGTTGACACTGCATACTTTTCATTAATAAGAATATAAATAACAACTGAAAACATACATTTATATCTGCTTGTCAATGTCATCAAATTAAAATGCTCTCTTAAAGAGTAATAAACTAGCGCGGCTACTTCATCATATACTGTCTCGTAATATTTTTAACGGTTGCGTAATATTATAATACTAGCTGACCCCGAGGGACTATTTTGCACATTTCAAATCTATCGCAAACGTTTTTGAAACCAGCAGTGAACGTCTTACCTTGGGGATCCCCTTATGGACTCAAAATGTGTCTCCACGAGTATTTCCAATTCGCAAAAACAATTGGCCGAGCTATGATTTGAAATCGAGAACATAGGTTTCTGGGGTAAGTAGACTATCCTTTCCACAAGGTAATGCAACA